TAATCAAAACATATTCTAGATCTTCATAATAAGAGTTTATTTTGGCTTGCATTCATTCATTCAGCAAATATTTATTAACCACCTACTATGTGTTAGGCATTGGTGCTGAGAATACAGTGACAAACAAGACAAAGTCCCTGCAGCCTCAGGGGGTTTTACATTTTAATGCAGAAGACAGACAATAAACAAACAAACGTTTCGGGTAGTGATAAATGTAACGAAGAGAAAGATCTTACTCATTGATCCTGCCCCCTTTTCACCAAGTCTCGCCCTTCTCATGTTCTTTTCTCCTTACTCAGCTCAGGCTCTACAGTCCATCACTATCTTCCTCATCCTGTGAATATCTTCAACTCACTCTTCTCCCCTTTCTTCGTACTTGCCTGGCAAAATCCCAACCTAGTTAAATGCATTTTTTTTTTTTTTTTTGCCAACTCTGCACCTACTCTCAGGTAGATGAATGTGGTGGGCTGGTCTCACTTTGACTTCGTGGTCTCTAATCCCAATGGGTACTTGCAGCTGTCTGGCTACCCTACTGTATTCCCTAATCCATTCATCTCCCATTCTCCTACATGACTAGTTCACATGTCCTCTCTCCTGAAACCTCCAACAGTCCTCTCCCATATTCACTCACTGTCAATAATTTTGCTCCTGATTTCACTGAGAAATGTAAAGTAATAAGAACTGCTAAAATTCCCACTGCATCTGCCAACCCCCACCCTGCATCTGTACCCTTCTCCTCTGTCTTCCCTCCTGGTATTGTGCAGAAGTTGTGCATCGTCCTTTCTAAGGACAATTCTTCCACTTGTGCACTAGATCCCATCTCCTCTCATCTCCTGGGGAACACATGGAGATGTGCCACCCAGATCCCTCTTCAAGGAAAGATCGCCTGCCCAGCTGCAGAGCCTGTGGTCAGCAGATTGCCTCCATCTGTCAGCTCCTTCAGAGACTGCCAAATCTGTACAGTCACTGCACCCAAGGTCATGACCTTCCTTGGGCAGCCTGCATGCAGGAACTGAGCAATGGGGGGCAGGGGGAGTAATAAAAGCCCAGGACTCAGGATACTCTGAAGAGCAGTACTCACTCCAGAGCTCCCCACAGGGCCGGCTGAAGGTCAGCTTTGCAATTCGACCTCTTCTCCTGCCAAGTCTTGCTTCCTCCCCCTTCCTTTCATAGTCTTGGCCCCTAATAGCATCTGGTGCCCCAAGTGCTGTTTCAGCATCTGCTTACAGAGAACCCAATGTGACATGCTCACTTTAGGTTGGTTCTAGCTACTGTTCTTTCTCTCTCTTGCATCATCAATTTTCTCCTCTCTACTGATTCATTTGCATCATCACACAAACATATGACATCTCCCTTCTTAAGAACCCAAACACCCTTTGAGCTACTGCTCTATCTCTTTGCTCCCCATACAAAAAAATTCCTGGAAAGTGTTCGAATCCATTCCTTGCCTATTTGTCTGTCTATATTCCCACTCCTGGCACCTTCATACCCACCACCCTGCAGAAATATCACAGTGTCACTGATAACACATGGTTATATCCAATGATCAATTCTCAGTTCTCATCTCACCTGACCTTTTAGCAACATCTGACCCAATTGATCACTCTCTCCTTCAAACACACTCTTTTGTCACTTGGCTTCTAGGACACAACTTTCATTTGATTCTCCTCCCACGTCACTGGCTGTAGTTGCTCCTTCTCATTTCCTTTGCTGGCTTCTCTTCCTCTCCTGAACCTCCAAACACTGGAGAGCTTCAGGGTACAATCTTGAAACTCTCTTCATCACTACCTGTATTCACTCTGTTAGTGATCTCTAGTCTCAGGGCTTCAAATACCATCTACAGTTGATGACTGATAAATTATACCTTGAACTAGAGCTTCCTCCCTTGAATGCCACACTCTCATATGCAACTGTCTATTCTGAATCTCCATTTAGATGCTAACAGGAATCTCAAACCTAACATGTCTAAAAAAACACAACTGATTCCTGCCTCCCACCATCCCCTCCAAAAAACCCTGCCAACCCCGCCCCATGAAGTCTTCCTCATCTCAATAAAGTTACTCTGTGCTTATGGCTGTTGAACTAAAAACTTAGTCTTCATTGACTTCTTGCTGACTCTTACGCCCCACATCCAATACTTTAGAGAATTATTTAGAATAGTCACATGTCACTTAATGACGGGGATAAGTTCTGAAAAATGTGTGTTTAGGTGATTTAGTCATTGTATGAACATTGTAGAGTGTTCTTACACAAACATGGATGGTACAGCCTGCTACACACCTAAGCTATATAGCATAGTAATTATAGTCTTATGGGGCCACCATCACATGAGGGTACTTCAAAAAGTTGGTGGAAAAATAGAATTAAAATACAAGTCTATCCATGCACTTGAAGTACCGTTGTTGACTGAATTGTCCTTATGCAGCACATGACTGTATATCTAATCTGTCCCCACTGCTCTCATTTCCTTAAGATCTTTTCTTTTTTTTTTTTTGGTGGCTGGCCAGTAAGGGGATCCAAACCCTTGACCTTGGTGTTACCAGCACCATGCTCTCCCAAGTGAGCTAACCAGCCAACCAAGATCTCTTTTCAATTGTCATTTACTAACAAGACCCCCCTTAATCATCAAATATATAAAATAAATTCCCATCCATCCTACTGGTATTTCTATCTCCTTTAAGCTGCATTACTTTTACCATTAATTGTCACACAAACATATTCATTTATTTGTTCATTGTATCAACTAGAAAGTAAGCTTCAAGATGGTAAGTAAGCATTCCGTCCTGCTCTAGCACCTAGTGATGAGCAGAATGTAAGTGCTCAATTAAAAAATATATGTGTGTATATTTTTGGCAGCTGGCTGGTACAGGGATCAAACCCTGGAGTCAATATTTTTAAATGAATGAATACAGGGGGAAAAAATGGTAAGGAAATAGTGATGGGGGAGAAGTACTTGAGCAGAGAGCTAAATGACGTGAAGAGGCAAGACATCTGAAGATCCAGAAGGAGGAGCAGTCCCAGCAGAAAAGAATTGTAAAGTCCAAAAGTGGGAGTGAATTTGGCCTTACAGAGGAACATCAGGGAAGTCTTGTGTAGCTGAAACAGTGAACTGTGTCAGAGAGATGAGATCAGAGAGATTGTCAGCAGTTGGATTATTTAGGCTTTTATAAACCATATAAGGATTTTGGATTTTATTCCGAGTATGGAGGGTTTTAAGCAGGAGAGTACCCAATCTGGTAATTGTTTAAACGTTACCTTGGCTGCTCTGTGACTAGTGGGGAGTTTGGGGGTGGCAATATTAAAGGCAGCAGACACGTGAGAGGCTTTGCTGTGATCCAAGCAAAAGAGTGGACAGGATTTGAGCAGCATCAGTAGAGTGGGAAACGGTATAAACTTTGCGGGTAGGAATGACAGGATTTGCTTATATTTTGTATAGGAACATAAAAAGACAAGAGAAGATTCAAAGAAAATGTCTAGTTTTTGACCTGCAACCTGGAGTCCATTAAAAGCAACTTTGATTATATTTCCATTAACTATATTCAATGAAAGGATCCTATGGGCAGCTGGTGGTTAAGGAGAAAAGGAAGGAAATCACATACAAAAGGGACGCGGATTTGAGGGCGAAAACTTACTGCGCTGAGTTTTTGAAATGTCGAGTTTAAAAGGTATCTGCGGAGACGGCCTAGAACTCTGGGAGAAGCGTCTGGACTGGACAATTACCTTATTTCATCTTTTATAAAACACACACACACACACACGGGCGTGGGGTAATCCCCCTCCCCCATGTACAGGTGTGTGAATCTATTTAAGTCGCAAGTGACGTGAACCTTTAACGTGGTAGGTTCTTCTTCCTTACGGTGCATCTTACAAGCGATGGGGTCCTCGGAAATACGGCGGATCTGGGAGTCATCACCCAGCATGACGTCGAGGACGTAAAGGAGGTCGCTCACTTACTAATTCCCCTCCACCTCTGTGAAAGTCTCTAGCGACTTCACGGCATTTGTAAACTTCTTCGCCACCACCCGCCGCCCCCCTCCCCGGCCCTGAACTGCTCATCATCTATTCCGGGAACGAACCGTGCAGACAAGGACACGCAGGCCCCCTAGCGTCCTCCCGCTCCGCGCGGCCAGGCCCGCTCGCTCCCGCCCGCCGCCCGATCGCCTTCCCGGGCCCGAAATCCCATCGGACACCGGGCGCAGCCCCTCCGCCCGCGGCCGGGACGACCCCTCCACGGCCCCGCCCCC